CAGATCAGAAAGCGGAACTGTACCAGGAACTGGTCACAAATGAATGAAAGGGGAGAGAATGCACATAAAACTCTGCAGCCACAAGGCAGCTAACTCTGTGGCGCATTTAATGGCAGCTAAAAATTGTCAACAAGCTTCCTGCCTATTTGCCAAGGGTATGACAGCGTAGTCTAAAGTCTCACTCTTAAATCTATAGGAAAGAGCGCATGTAATCCGATATACTTGTAATTCAATGACGCCATTTCTTGTATCTCGACTCCACTGATGTCATTCGCAGTGCCGATCACTTTTGTCTGGGCCCCCCTTTCATTCGCTTTTTGGCGCTGGCATCAAATATCCAAATGCAAACACAGCCAAGAGCTTAAAACCGCTCTATCCTTTAGTCCCTGTCGCTCTCATCCACATCCACATCCACATCCACATGCCCGCCTGCAGTTGGTTCAACATTTTCGTTTGTTTGTTTTTTCTATTTTTTTGCTGCACTTTCAAGGGGCATTCCTCTTGGTGTGCAGTTTTTTGGTAGGGGGAAATTGAACAAACAAAAATGTTTTCAAAATGATATTGCGATTAAAAGTTGCACAGCTTTGAGAGACAGCAGATCTGCCTCGGATAAAGGATCAAAGGATCAAGCATAAATGTGCACAATTTCTGTGTATTTGGAAGAGTATTCGTGGCTTTGCTTCGACTTGATTTTCGGTCAGTTTGTGCACTTTTTTTCATTTTCCTCAATTTTGTTTAGGGCTGTGGCTTTGCAGCTTCGCTCGGCCTGCGGCTGTCTGTGGCCACGCGTTGGCGGTTTTTTGTTTCGATTTTATTTTGTTTGCTGGTTTGCCTCGCTGTGGCCACACATGTGCCATGTGGCAGCGCACCCGCACCCGCATCCCACATCCCACATCCCTGGCGGGTCCTGCGTGGTCAGCTTTATTAGGTTCAGGTTCTCCTAGTTGGTGCCGCCAGCCGGCCGGCCTGTTCCCGCTGTTTTGCGTGTGCCTTTTAATTTATTTATCAGGGGCTGCAGCGTCAGTCGCCGCCGCAGCTTTTGGGTTTCAGTTCCTTTTTTTTTTTGTAATTTTATTTTGTTTTTTTTTGTGTGGTTGTAGCGCCATTTGGCGCCGGACTGCGGCCGCGGCAATTTGGCGGCTTTGTTATTTATGCAAAAGACTGCGCCGTTCACGTGCTGCACAGGACACGGCCCTGGACAGCCTGCAGCAGATCCACGCTCCGCTGGATGCCAAATGTCGCCTTGGGGGCCACTCACAGGGGGGAGCACAGGTTGGTCCAAAAACGAGTCATCGAAAATGAAACACACACAAAAAACGTTGGCAAACCTTTAGGAATTATGGCTGTTGTATAAATAAATGTATAAATAAATGCAATTATGCTGAACAATTGCAATTATAATTCTGTGTGGCTCTTCGTTTGCTATCAAATGTGGCAAATTATTCGAATCAACTTTTAAGGGCCTCACTGCAGGATGTTCCGAATGGGCATTTCTCTTAATTTTCGCCACCTTTAGGCGGGCATTAACGATTCATAGAGCTTAGGGCCTAATGGATTATCGACTCGAGAATGTCATTACTCAATGTGTCACGGCAGTTGTTATGGCTGCTCTCTCCCACCTCATGCAGCATGTATGTAGAATCCTTATCCCCGCCTTTGGCCCCGCCCTGGTGACAGCCCGTCCTGAGATCGTTGTTCATCATTATCATCGTTGGGCTGGCATCGGCAGGTGGGCCCAAAGTGGTTGCCATAAATAAGCCTCACGATAAACTAAACGTGAAAAGTGGCATCGCGACGCACGGGAGAAAGTCTATCAAAATGCCAATTTGTGGTTGCTATTGGAGGGTGTCTGTGTGTGTGTGTGTGTGTGTGTCTTTGTCTCTGTCTTTGGGTAAGCAGTGCACACAATAAATACTCAATAATTCATGTAGAAAATGTCGAAGGAGTTTCTGAGTGCGAGAACGGGCGAATGGGGAGGTTCTTGCTTGGGGTTTGTGTGTGTTTTTTTATTTTGCTACTGTGGAAATGTGAACTGTAGAAATGCAGCGCACTCGCTGTAATTTGCCGGTAATCTGCCGAAAGATTCGCTTCGAAGAGTGAGAGCCACTGCGTAATGCAATTTATTCGCTTACTTGGCCCATGCCACATGTCCCCACATGTCAAGCAGCAACCAGGTCTGAGCGAACAAAGGGCGCACTTTCTGGTGCCATTTCAAAGCTCAAAGTGACAGGCCAACAAACGAGCAGAACAGACAGTCAATTTATATTATGAGCCAGTGTCCAGCACAGGGACACGGACATGGACAATGATAAGAGCAGTGACAACAAGTGATAGTGACATTCATTCCAACTTAAAGGTACAAACGAACCCACTGAGAGTTACGCTATGGAAATTATTCAACAAGCAAAGCAAAATAGTAAAATTAAAAGCAGCAAAAAGGAATTCAATAAAGTGTTAAGTGGTGGCAGGAAGCTCGTCCCCTCCGGCTGATGGATTCATTCCCGCGATGCCATTGCGTCAATTTGAATGAGTGAATGCCATCGGAATGGGAATGGCGAATGAGAATGGGAATGAGAATAGGAAATGGCTGCTTGGAAATCTAAGAAATGCCAAGACGTGGCCAAAGCCAAAGTGTTCCCCCGGGGGAACAAACCAATGGGCGATTTGTGCATATAACATTATTATAATGACATCAATCCAAAAGCGGAGGGAGAAGTTTGACGTTGCCTCAGTGCAAGTGGATGCCACGGGCAGAGCGGTGGAATCGGGCATGCTCCTTCGACTCGCTTGCAGTAAATAATAAGAAAATTCCTGTGCGCCTTGGCATCTTGGCTAAGCAACATCCCGTCCTTATCATTCTCATCGTCATCATCATCGTTCTCATTCAGTTGCGACGCCAAACTATGTGCCAGTGGGCTCTGTGCTGTGGCTGTTGTACACCCCTTGCCCTTCCCCTGCAGAGCGTCAAAATGGAATTTCAAGTTCAAGCCAGATAAAGGAACTTTTCGATTAGGAATGAAGCGGGCAAGAAAAGCGAGTCAAGCAAATGCAATAAACTTCAAGTTTATTAAATTTTACGAGTTTACGAATCATCACACCCCCCTCCATTCACACACATCCATTCCGGTTATTGTTGTTCAGGAATCAAATTACCAGCAAAAGTGTAAAATGTGAGCAGCGGAAAGAAAAACGCTTTAGCTGCAGCCTCAATCAATCCGAAATCAAATCATTTCGGGCTGTTCTCTCCACTGAATCCACAATGAACTACAGAACTACAGAACGCCTCTAATGAAGGCCAAACAAATTGAATTACTTTAGTTGAGCTCGGTATGTGATGCCCATTTTTTGTTAGTTCTAATATAGTTATTTAGCTGATATTGGAGCTTAGATCTCCGGCCGATTGTAGGCCAGTGGACTGTGGACTGTGGACTGTGGACTGTGCAAAATGCACTTCCGATCATCAGCCAGTTATGGCATTCTGTCAGGGTTCTCTCAGTGCTCTCTGGCTGCTGCGGGACAATTGGAAACGTGCGTTGAACGTTGAACGTTGAAGGCTGAACCACGGACACCGATTTGTTCGATATTACCAAAGTTTTGCCAGCACCCACAGAGGGGCACAACAGAGGGGCGGCTGGACAGGGACAGGGGAAAAGGTACAGTTACGGTTTGCCTCTGATGTATCGGCATGTGCGCGCCCGGGGCCCACGCTTGTAAAAGTGAAGTGAGACATATGTACAGTAACAAATCAATTTTAGTGGCAAACATACAAGAGAGAGAGAGAGTTGGTGTAGGGTGTAGGGTGTAGGGTGTGGTTGTGGTTGTGGGTGGCAGACTCGTTTGGGGCATATTACTTCCGCTGAACTTGATTGAACTGAACTCTGGCCCCCAGACAGCGAGAGGGCGAGAGGAAAGCAAAATTCATCAACGCATCCAATGCCAGGAAAACGGAACACGAAACACGGAACATCGGGAACCCAGGAACCCAGAACCCAGAACCCGGTGTTGCCCGGAGCACCATCCCCGCTCTGAAAAACCACGGACCCTCCTGTCACTTTTGATTGTAATCGAGTGTTTTTATTGTCGCTCTCACTCGCTCTCTTTCGATGCCACCTCCTTCTGACAAACCGTTGGATATACTTTACGAACTGCGGTCCATGGCCACAGCAAAGGCCACATCCAGTTTCACGTCCATGACTACGTCCTCGATCTCCTTCGGTGTGTGTGTGTGTTTGCCAATTGGATTTGACATTTTATTGGGTTTTCCTCTACTCTGCACTCCTCGCCTCGCCTCGCCACGCCTCGCCATCTCTCGTTACTGCCGCTCCACTGGCTGGCTGGCCGATTGTTGCCTGTAACTGTAATTGATGTGCCTGATGTGCGGCCGGCGGGTCCGAGTTGCTGCCAACATAAATCCACACTGCACTGGATTGAGTCCTCGTCCTCGTCCTCGAGTCAGCCAACCAAAGGACTCACTGTCTGAGTATCCGAGAATCTGTGGCAGCGAGATAAGGGGCTTGGAACAGTACAGATTGAAGTCGCGTGGCTTCCTTTTATTTGGGTAATTAGTACACAACAACTTGATTATCGCGCCATCTACCCCGCAGTGGCCGCAGCGTAAACCGCATTCCGAAATTGAGTTGGGGCTTGGATTCGGATTCGGATTCGCATTCGGATACGGACTCGGATTGGTTACCCCCCCCCCCCCCCCCCCNCCCCACCAGTCAAGCCGGCTTAATGGCCGGCAATAATTCTGAGTGTCAGGCAAAAGGGATGACACAAAGGAAACCGCGAGCGCAGCGAAATCAATTTAATCTTTAATTAGAACAGCCTCACGAACAGATTTTAGCTTTACTTGCACTTTATATAATTGTTGTGGCGACACCCCCGCTTGTGCCTAACGCGATCAGCTCGATCAGCTGACAGTGCACTGCCATGGTCACACTGTGCTCCATAGACGACCATTTCGGGATAACTTTTAAATGTTTTATCGCTGCTTTCAGGCCTGTCGGACACGAAGCTGCACGAGATCTATCTCGATGACAAGGAAATCAAGCTCAGCTGGATGGTGGACTGGTACAAGCAGGAAGTTCTCTTTCACCTGCAAAACGCGTTCAACGAGCAGCATCGCTGGTTCTATTTGGGCTTCTCTAAGCGGGGCGGCCTCGCCGATGCGGATATTTGCTTCTTTGAGAATCAGAACGGCTTCTTCAATGCGGTCACCGACACGTACACTAGTCCGGATGGGCGCTGGGTGCGCAGGGACTACCAGCAGGACTGCGAGGTCTTCAAAATGGATGAGTTTACGCTGGCATTCAAGCGAAAGTTCGACACTTGCGATCCCCTCGATTTGCGGCTACACGTGAGTAGTGCACCCTGCCATCACACAGCCTGAAACCCCTCACCAATTTGTGTGAATTCGGTACAGGAGGGCACCATGTATGTGGTGTGGGCGCGTGGCGAGTCTGAGCTTGCCCTGGAGGACCATCAGTTCGCGCTGCCCAATGTGACGTCACCCCACGAGGCGGGCATAAAGATGCTGCAAATTCTGCGTGCCGACAAGATACTTATTCCCGAAACGTGAGTACACACAACTATCAAGCCATAAATGATTGCGGGAATCCAATGGGAAATAATTTTCCAGCGATTTGGATATGGTGGAGATCACGCTCTCGAAGGCGCCCATACCCAGCGAGGAGACCACCTACTGGTGCCACGTGCAGCGTCTGGATGAGTTCGTTCAACAGCGCCATCACATTGTGCAGTTCGAGCCGGTGGTGAAGACTCCGAGCATTGTGCACCACATGGAGGTATTTCATTGCGAGGCCGGGGAGCATGAGGAGATGCCGCTGTATAACGGTGACTGCACAAATCTGCCGGCCAAGGCCAAGGTCTGCTCAAAGGTGATGGCCCTCTGGGCCATGGGCGCCAGCACATTCACGTATCCGCCAGAGGCTGGTCTGCCCATCGGTGGCCCCGGCTACAATCCCTATGTCCGGCTCGAGGTGCACTTCAATAATCCCGAGAAACAGGCCGGTGAGTGGGTGAAAATGGTGGAGCCGGTGGCTCTTCCATAAATATCAATCATTAATACTCGGGGCTGTTCCACCGTTTCAGGGCTCATTGATAGCTCCGGCTTTCGCATCAAGATGTCAAAGAGTCTGCGACAATTCGATGCAGGCGTCATGGAACTGGGGCTGGAGTACACGGACAAGATGGCCATACCGCCGGGCCAGACGGCCTTTCCATTGAGCGGCTACTGCGTGGCAGATTGCACGAAGGCCGCCCTACCGGCGACGGGCATCATCATATTTGGCTCCCAGCTGCACACGCATCTGCGCGGCGTGCGGGTCCTCACGCGTCACTTCCGTGGCGAGCAGGAGTTGCGAGAGGTCAACCGTGACGACTACTACTCGAATCACTTCCAGGAGATGCGCACGCTGCACTACAAGCCACGTGTGCTGCCCGTAAGCATTCAAGGTCGAACTGCCTTCTGCATCTCACATTTGCTTTGCAGGGCGATGCTCTGGTGACCACTTGCTACTACAACACCCTGAACGATACGAGAACTGCCCTGGGGGGCTTCTCCATCAGCGACGAAATGTGCGTCAACTACATCCACTACTATCCGGCCACCAAGCTGGAGGTCTGCAAGAGTTCCGTGTCCGAGGAGACGCTCGAGAATTACTTTATCTACATGAAGCGGTGAGTTCCACGTACAGCTTGAGTCTAGGATTAATGGCAGCTAAGTGTATGGCTGAAGTTATCATTTATTACGAACTACTTGAAGCATTCCTTGCATTCAATTATATTTATTTATTTTGGCAAACAATCAGCTACGCGTTCCTTGCATATCAAATATTTATTGCAAACCTTTTTCTATGGTTTTTCTTTGGCTTTCCAAGGCTTTGAAATACCAGAAACCCCCAACCCATGGGGTTCTTTTTGCAGGCACATCCTCGAGTGGTATTTTTATTGTTGATTTCTCTCTTTTCTTTGCTCTTGCTGCTTCCTTTATTCAACAATTATGACGCCCGTACACATTCCTGCTGCCATCCAGCCATCCATCCATCCATCCAACCATCCATCCCTGGGGGCGTTTGCTGCGTTAATGGAAGAAATATTTTTTAATCTACGCAGCAAAACCGACGACAGACGCCGTAGCAATGGGACTGTGGTGGCTGGGATGTTGGGTTCTGGCAATGTGGATTTTCATTTAGGGTTTTCTTCCTCCGCCGCCTGCTCCTTGTGCATCAAAGGCAAAAGTTTTTGGCATTCTCATTTTTTGTTGTTTTATTTTTTGTTGCTGTTCGCGCATTCATAACGGCGAAATGCTCTTTGTCCGCTCCCCAAAAAGGTGTTCGCTAATTGCCAACTTTAAGCACTTGAGCATAAAGGCGAAGTTTACATTAGATTAGGGCCTGCCACAATGAGGCGTCTATGAAATGCGTACACGGAGGCTGAAGGTGCTTAGAATTGCTGTGACAATGCCAAGTCGAGTAGATCCCAACAAATTTGATTAGAAAATAGAATCTACACACACACACACACACTCTCTCTCTCTCTCTCTCTCAGTTAATCCCAGAGCACATGCAGCACAAAATGCATAATGCAAACTGCAAAAAGCAAACTTAAACCAGATTTTCGCTTTCTTTCTGCACCACAGCACGGAGCACCAGCGCGGCATACACCTGAATGGGGCACGTTCGGCGAATTATCGAAGCATCGAGTGGAGCCAGCCGCGCGTCGACCAACTCTATACGATGTACATCCAGGAGCCGCTTAGCATGCAGTGCAACAAATCGGATGGTGGGCGCTTCGCGGACCGCAGCTGGGAGGGCGTGGCACCTACGGCTGTGCAGATCAAAATACCCATACACCGGAAGCTCTGTCCCAACTATAATCCGTTGTGGTTGAGGCCACTGGAGAAGGGTGAATGCGATTTGCTTGGCGAGTGCATCTACTGAGTGGAGTAAGCCCAAAGAATTGAGCATGGGCATGGCAGCACAAACACACAGACACACACACACACACACACACACGATTACATTGGGATTTTGGGAATTTTATTTAAGTTTGTTCGTTTTAATTGTTGTTTTTTTTTGTTGCTTTATCGACATCATCAGATGCCATCATCATGGTCACTGGCAGGCGTCGAGCAAACCTTCCTTCGTCCGATTGAAGGCTTCAAGACAATAGGCTAAAAGAAATGTTTTCACTCTTTGAATAACTAATGCACTTGCCTCCAACACTCCTCCACCACTTCTGCACTCAGCCACTCGGTTTTGTTTGTGTTGTTTATGCTGTTCGTGTGGGTTTGGGTGTGCCCGTGCCCCCTGCTGCTGTGGGCCAGGCCTTTGAAATTTGCCGACTGACAGCGCCGCCAGGCTTAACGTTTAATACCAAGCAGCAAAGACAGACGCACAAACACCCACACCCCCACACATATACACACACACAGAGGAGGTCGCAAGAGAAGTACAGGCCACAGCTGTGCACAGCAACGAATCCAAAATTGTAGCATACTTTTCAGCACCAGCTGCAGAAATTAAATGGGCAACTGACTAAATGAATGAAAGAATGACTGAATGAACGAACGACGGAGGAAGGCCACCAGGGTAAGAGCAAGTTCAGTCCAACTACTGGAATCTGGTCGGTTAGGTCCGGTCCGGCCCGGTCCGGTCCTTTGCCGTTTGAATGAGCCAACGGCTCTGTTTATACAATATAAATGAGCAAACTTCTGATGCATTCCGGACGTGGCAAAGCAGCAAGCAGCTCACTCACACTTGCACTTGGACCTAGACTTGAACACAGAGGACACAGTCTTCTGGCAGACGCTAATTATCCAGAAGTAAAGAAATTTGAGCAGTTGCAAGTTTGCAAATTTGAGTCATGAAGATTGAATAAATATTGCCAGCTGCAGATTTGAGTGCCAATTGCAGGTTTGAAGAGTCGTACAAAATGTAGAACAGTTTTTAGCATAAAGGAATATTGCCTTCTGTCAGCTGTCGCTTGTCGTCGAAAATGGATCGTACAGAATGTTTTTGTATATGGGACATGGGCTACCAACAGCCAGGAGCTTATGTATTCATGTATGTGCCATTCAAATGAAAACATAAAGAAGATGTCATATGCACAGGCACATTCGATGGCACATTTGACAATTTCCTTTGGTCTTTTTCTATTTGATGAAATCTGACTAATTGTATGACATGCAACAAACTGTTGACTGTTGATTGCTGACTGGTGACTGATGATGATGATGATGATGATGATGCTGATGACACACGCACACAAACATACATATGAGTAAACATGTAATGGATACATTTAGGAGTAGCCAACATATGTAAGATGTGATAATTGTTCTATGGCTATAAACAAATATATATACAACAAATATTTAAACTATGTAGAAGAAATATTTATAAAAAAATACAAGAAATATTGCAAGCAAAAACCACAAAAAACAAAAAAAAAGCAAAAAAAAAAACTGTATAATTTATCAAATAAAAACTGACCACCATACCAGACTGGAACATATATTTTCTTCTTTTCTGGGGGAATTACTTTACAAAATGGTACCACAAATTAATAGTTATCGCAAACATTTTAGCAGTTTTTATTGTTGCAAGAAAAAAATACATTCAGGGGTCCGAAAAGAGTTGCAGTTTTGAATGCATTTAATTTTTGTTCTTTTCAATAGTAAAGTAGCTAAATCTTCCTGAATATCGACTTTGTGGATTCAAAGTGTTACCCATTAGCGTTTTTTATGTATCAATTAAATATTCAGTAATTAACTATGTAGGCCATAAAGACTAGCAAAATGAAGTAAATAAATTGTTCAGTTTGCTTAACGCAGAAATCTTACTCGATCATTTGTTCAAGTTATCAGAGATAATGAAAAAGTCGCATACTTTGTGGTTCGCTTCGGATTATTCCGGATTATTTGCCTGATTCGATGATGTGTTTGCGTGTGCCTGCACTGGGTGATGGCCAGCCCCTTATTGGCATTATTATTGCGAATTTCATCCTTCAACACGTTGACTGTCGGTGGCCATTTTTTTAATTGATTTTTTCCCTTTTATGCGCTTTTTTTGTGACCAACGTGTGGCAGAGCTGCAGGGCGGTAGGGCAGGGTCCGTTATGAAAGTATTAAAAACGCTTGCAATCCAATTAAAAGTTTTTACCGAAACAAAAAATATTTTAATATTCATGGGGGCACACACACAGAGCGAAGACAGCGAGGGAACGAGACAAACTACATTAAGCAAGACAAAAAAAAAGGAGTAAACGAAAAACGAGTGAAGACCATGGAAAAGCTGAAGAGAAATGTTAGCATACGCTTGGGGAATGGATACATTTTGAGGATTTTATCACGCCCTTGGACCCTATAGCTTCTACTCTTATTTATGTACAAACATAATCGGGTACCAAATATGTACATACGTATGTACATTGTGTGTGTTCACGTATGACAACTTTCATTCCATTAGCATTACCTTATCAAATGTAGAAAGAAGCCAGCCTTATACCCTCCTACCCATTCCCACACGACGGACACTCCTGCCCAACGGTATAGAAAGCAAAAGTCAAAGTGAAAGTGAAAGGTTTCTACCTTGAGCAGCTCCGACTGGCAGCAGAAATTCCAACGATAAGCATGCGTACACTTGGCGAACATTCTGCTCATAATTAGCATTATTTATTTTTGTGCTTTTCCGCTCCTACTCATGGATTTGCATCCCAAAAGAATATTAAGTAGCTCAAAGCTAGAATCAAATGGCGTTTTTCGCTCAGTGTGTGGCAGCAAGAGCAAAGGTAAGGGTAAGGGCAAGGGCAAAAGGCAAATTTCGTGACTGTGAAAAAGTCAAGCGGTTGGACGACATAAACGCGGTGTGGATGTGGATGTGGATGTGGATGCGTAACGTAACGTAATGGCATACATACGTGTGCGTTTGTTTGTTGGTATGTGTCTGGGTAATCGCCATTTCGGGTCGTTGTCATTGCATTTTCACGCTCGCGCACACACACAGCCATACAGAAGCACATTTAATCAACCGCCAGCCCCCCGCCATGATGTTCTGGTACAGGTTCGAGGTCTGAGCATTTTTGGGCTGCTGGGGGTAAGTATGCTTCGCGTACCATCATTACTGTCATCGCAACTCCCCTCCGACCCCCCACCACCAACATTTACTCATTTTGCTAAAACATTTATCTGTGGCCCAATCGCATGAGTGTGTTTGTTGGGGGGAAAAAAAGGAGAAGAAGAAACAAAATTTAATGTCACAAACTTTTGATGTGTTCTAATTTATATATGTACAAACAGACAGACAGACAGACAGACAGAGAGACAGAGAGACGCAGAAGGCGACAGGCGACAGGCGAGAGGCGACAGCATGAACGGACGACCCTTCTCGTCCGCCAGGTCTGCTCTGGCCATGACTCGTTAAAGCAAATTTGTTTTTACGCTTGATGGCAAATTGCGCGACTTGCCTAATCTTCCCGTGCTGCCCGCTGCCACCCACTCCACACACCCAAGAACTTACACACACACAAACATATTCCATGCTGCCATGCATTGGAAATATTCGTGGGAGCAGCGCGGCACTTGTTAATATTTCATATGTCATCGCAAGAAACAGCAACACCACCCGCCCCCACCATCACATCTGCCACTGCCTCAGACCGCAACAGCAACGACACTCATCCACAGGCAACAGAAAAAAAAGTGAGATGTGTAAAATATGTACATGTAAGGTGAGGCAGGAACGCTCTTTCGAGAGCCCCATGGTGCGTGTACCTGTTTAGAAGGGAAACTTTAGGTAGTTTTCTAGAAAACAAGAACTAGAACTAGTCTAGAAAAATACATACACTTCATATCTAAACAGTAAATAGCTGTGCACAAACGGTCTGCAAATTAAATTTCATTTCAAAAGAAATATATTTGAATTTCGTGATGCCTTTTATCCATTAAACATATCACATCATCGTAAGTTTATCACGTAGAATTTGATGACACTGTCGGCAGCTCCTTACCTTCTGTAAGCACACCTTGCACAGAAAGACACTCTTCGCCCCCTCAAAAACCCCCACGCGACTCAAGCACGTGGCAACTCTTAAATCGCTCGCGTTTAAAAATTTGATTATGTGACATTTTCTTACTGCTTTTAGAACAGTGGAAAGGGGCGGCATGGCGTGGAGTTAAAACAAATAAAAAGGAAGGAAGGAAAAAAATGTAAATTAAGTTTATACACAGATTCAAATTTTTTGTGGTGGCGGTTGATTTTTCCCTAATTTAACACTGAGCAAAACAATCAAGTAGGTTTTTGCCGATGATATTCGAAAAGATAGCAATAAGAATGTTATACTCTGATCAAAATATGACCAAAACATAACAATGAATTAAACTAAAATATATAAAAATATTTAAAAATAATAATTATATTTAACTCATTTGAATCGATCGTCAAATCAAATTAAAGTGCGAAATGAATTCTTCTTAGACCTTCATTATTATTCATCAAAGAACAAGACAAATTATTTTTCAACATATGTAAATGTTTCAATGTCCACAAGTTTAGTTGCATTTTCTTTAGCATTCATATATGCTTTTATTTTATTTATGTTTTATATTTTTTTCTCTGGAGCAGCAGAAGCCAAAGCTCAGCCCCGATTATGCAGTAATTTCATTCCCTTTTATGAAGGCTTTTCCGCATATTTTGGCATTAGGAAGAAAATAAAATTTAAAAAATAACAACAATAAAGAGATGAGAAAAGGTGATGTTTTTCATATCTCTGTGGCGTCATTGATCGACAAACTCCAACAAATTTTCCCACAATTCTGACCTGAATGCTGATCATAATGGAAAAACGGATGATGATTCTAATTGGGTCGGAAAGCCTGAGGGACTGGTATATACTTACTTGTACGAGTTATAAATTATATAAACGTTATATAAACTTCGAGGAAATCATGTACATATGTATATGCACCCGGACATATGTAGATATGTATGTATGGATGTACATTGTACATATTTACATATAACAGGAAATGCTTTTTGTGCCTGGCGCTGGCTGCGTAAGTATTAAGCGGTTTAATGCGGCTTAAACGCCATTTGGGCATACGGGATGGAATCCGGCATGATAATTCTGGCTGGGAAGCGAGGGCAGGCGAAGACCTCGAGCGCGATTATGCCACTGGAGATCGAGCCTTGGGGACCGATTGCGCATTGTGGGAATTGTTTCTTGCTTTGTTTTTTAGTTGAATAATTCATGCAAAATATCCAACCAAAAATTGGCATTATTCAGTGGTGTCCTTTGTTGAGTTCACACACTCGCACACACACACTCACACACATACAAACACACACGCACATGGACATGAAGGCACGCCGCACAGCATTTTGGAAAATGTCAAAGACGAGGATAAAACGGCATTTCCATGCCCGCTGACATTTCTGCTCTTTGCCCGGGTCGCTAGAAAAATTCCAACATTCTTATAACTTAATCAAGAAATTCCTTTTGCCTGTCCCCCTCCATTCATGGGAGTGTCTGGGTGGTCCGTGTTAATGCTCCTGGCCTTGGAGGCGTCTAGGAAGGGAAGTGCCAATAAAGGGTCCACAGTGTGGACCTACAGTATTGTATTCATAAACACACGAATATACTCGAATGTTTGTTTATACTTACGAGTAACCATTGTGGCTTGCAGCTCTCAGTAAAATTTTTAATATTCGGAAACTCAGTTCAATGAAATTCAAGCTTCGGTGTCGGGCTGCGCAGCCTGATACTGGAGTAGATGCAGCAACCAAAATTAAACCATCATTATTGTTCTACCCGCATGTATGTACATACATTTCAACAGCCAACTGTAAATAAGAGCGGCAAACTCTTCTTCGTGTCTGCAGTTACAGCCTTTAAGCTGTTTCTCTCGCGCTCTGCTCTTCGGCCGTACTCTCGTCTCTTTAGCCCCTCTTCTTCGTTTCTGCAGTTACAGCCTTTAAGCTGTTTCTCTCGCGCTTTATCTCTCGTTCCAGAGATCTCACATCACAGCGTTGTTTACTGTTGTAATTGCACTTGCACGAGCAAAAGGCACGACAAGAGAGCGCAGCGCGTTGCGTGAATCACCACCTGTTATAATGTTGTTCCTCTTGCTCTCTCTGCCTATCACCGTTACTCGCACTCTCTAAGATGTTCTGCATGGGCATAAACATAAAGAAACTATATAAGGAGGTCTCGTCGGAAAAAGTTATGGACTAGTGCGAGTGAAAAGTGCGACTGAAAGGGCTCTCGCTGTAAGTGTAAGGGCAACGACAATGGAGTGTGCTGATTAATCATTTGAAGGCAATGTGAAAAAACATAATAATTGTTTCATAATTTAATTTTTAATAGTTTGCTACATAATAGTAGTCTGTGTTCTGAAGAAATAAACATTTTGAAAAAATTTGAAAAACCAACCTTCCGCGTCGACCCCTTTCACTAGCACTTTTCACTCTCACGTTTCCATAATTTTTTCCGACGAGACCTCCTCATATAGTTGCTTTATGTGCATGGGCAACGCTCAATTCGCACCGACGCGTCGGACCATTCAATCTCGCATTGATCGTCACCTATTTAATCTACATAGTGTACATATACATAAGTACATATGTCTGTATGTACATATGTAATTACGAGTGCATACTACGAAAGTGTATCGACTCTTCTCGACCTTAGATTTAAATCAACCCATAATTTGGAACAGCTTTTAAATATGCGAATATTCGAATATTTGTAATAGTAATTGGATTACATTTTTTGAATTGAATATTTGTTGTATGCTCCAAAAGGAACTGGAATTAGTTCGCCTTCTCTTTGTTAAGATTAAGCCGACGCAACACTGCCGGATTCCCCAGGGGGGGGTATGGCAGTGGATGAAGCAACAACACCACCGGAGGTTCCTCCGGGAAAGTTATCCAACTTGTGGGCCACATCCTGGACGCGGCAGCATTGGACCAAGCCATACGCGGGATAGTCGAGCAGACTGCCGAACAGACTATTCTTCATCCAAGCCACCTGGTCGCACATGGTGGGACAGAAGTCGCTCATCTTTTCGCCCTTGAACTGCGGGAAAGATCGATATAGCGATCGATAAGCGTTAGTTTTGGGACAGATGCCGATTCCTGCTTCGACTTACAAACGGGGAGTTGTGGCCGATGACGACGAGCTCGTCCTGCGGATTGCCAGTCGGGTGCAGGTCCCGCACATGGGCCCAGATGTGTGCGGGCACTGACAGCGTGCTGCCGTTGTCCAAATCGATGCTGAGAATGCGGCTGGCATTGCACCCACCCATCTGCGGCAAAGCAACTTGACCAGAGACACCCAGGCGAATGTCGAACTTGGAACCGGCTGGCTGGCTGGCCGCGTGCAGGGCGTAGAGCCAGTTCCGCCAGTTGCCGGTGCGCAGGGTTCGCAGCCAAACGACACTGAGCATATCCTCATAGCCGGCCAACTGGCTCCTGATAGCCTCATCCTGCACCAGGCTGGTGTGCTCGAACGTAACTCCGCCCAGCAGCTGCTTGAGTTGCTTGTCGTGCTCCAAGTATGCGCCAATTGTCGTCGGACTGGAAAAAAGTTCGTATTGGCATCTCAAATGCATTAATCTGATGTTATTCATGCCCACCTTACGGCCTTGAAAAGACTTTTGGTGTATGCCACGTTAATATCCAGTCCCAGGCCATTCAACTCTCCCGGTTGCATCTTTTCAATAATCCTGTTCTTTAACGGACATGCCGTGTAGCTGACATACTTGAGCTCAGATCCAACAATGTCATAGCAAATCCCAGCACTCTTGATGGATCCAATGGCCCCGAAGTCCTGGCCCACCACAAGGGTCATGTGGTCTTCGCAGTCTGGTAGGCTTTTACGACTCTCAAACAGTTGGGAAACCATCGTTCCCCTGCAACTAACACTTTGTGCGAGCAATTCTGGTTCATTTTCCATATTTACCACAAAGCTGTCCGAACCGCAAGAGAAAGTTCTAGTTGTGTTCTCAGAGTTGAATTGTCTATGATTATAATAATTTCTGGAGACATGTGCATAAGCAGTTTAGCGGAGAGTTTAATGTTAAATCAACTTGTAAAACAAACCTGTCGGTATAGATACCATCGAACCCCCCTGCACAATACATCTGCACCGATTCGTAGTTTTCCCGTAACAATTGGCTGGGGGCAGCCGACAAAAGGTGCTTCGATCCGAAACTTGTCAAGATTAGAGGGGCAGGATCGTTTATAGTCATTGAGCAGCCTCCATTAACATTCTGAGTTAGTGTAGAAAGGACCGAGAGGCCCAAAAGAACGGTGTACACAGCCAGCATCGCGATTTTATTAAACTGATTGAGACGAATCGAAGGCGATGTTTTTATATGTTCGTGACTGCTGATGCAGCGGATTTTTTCTTATCACATTATTCCGCATTATATTTAGCAATTGCGAATGAGATTAAAAATATATACATACAGTATATAGAAATAATAACGGTTGTGTGTAACGGTTTTTTCTTATCACATTATTCCGCATTATATTTAGCAATTGCGAATGAGATTAAAAATATATACATACAGTATATAGAAATAATAACGGTTGTGTGTAACGCACAGAAGGAAACGTTTCCGATCCCATAAGGTCCATATACGAGTCGATAGAGCCATGTCTGTCTGTCTTGTTTGTCGGCTAGTTCTCAGAGACTATAAGAGCTAGAGCCACCAAATTTTGCATCCAGACTGCTATATATGCTCGCACTGAAACCAGTGTATTTCAAAAATGAGCGAAAACCTCCAAAAGTTACAATTTTGAAGAAAAAAAGAAAACTAAATACGCCATTTCGAAGGAAATGACCATATCTATTAGTATCCAAAATCCCTTCTTTCTTCGGAAAATTTGAAAAACGATCTCAATGCTTTTATTAAACCTATTTTAGAATCGTAACACAATCTGACGTTGTGTGACCTTCATATCCTGGTGTAAGGATATTTGTTCTTTTAATATCCGCACAATGTCCTCCGCGAGCCATTCTGAAGCTCTAACAACAAAAAACACAACCGGATCAACAGGAAAAGTTATTTTATATCTTTTTTTGGCCGTTCGTTTATGAATTGTTACCAATATAATTCGCTTAAAAACGTGTTAAGAAAAGTTATGAAAAGATTAGACTTCGTTTCTATTATTTTTTCCAAGACGAACGCGGGGTCTTCATACAAATCGGGATACACTGCTAAAAAAACTTACGAAAGATGTCCAAAAGAGGGTCCTATATAAAGCCCTAATATCCTGCAACCAAGCCCACTTGCTTTGATGTAAACAACTTTCACCAAAAACAAAATATTTGGATTCAAGGTGAATGCGCATTTCGTTTCTATTATTTTTTCCGCCACTGTATGTGCATAAGTAGGTACTGAGTAATTGTCGTGCAATCTAAAATGTAGCCTCAGCAGTCTTATATCAGCAAAAATCAATTGTCCTATACATATGTACATACATACCTATGTATATTGCTATATTGCATTTAACATACATTTTACATAAATATTATACCATAAGCTCTTATTCATAATTGCTTTCTGTTTATTTTATAGTTTTTTTTTTGTTTTCAATTCTTCTAACGCTCACATAAGTACAGCGATTGGAAATGATCGAGAAATTGGGGATAAATGATTTAAACAAATACTGGAATGAAAGGAGCGAAGAAACGACACTATCACCTGAGATCTCACTACTTATGCTGCCGAAGTCTCGACAAATATGTCATTAGTGCTATAAATAAAGGTCAATTGTAGTTACCATGGTGCATGACATATTCGTCTACATCTGTCGACATATATCGTACAACTAAGTCTGGATCCATAGTTAAAACTCGAATAATACGAGCTAAACCAACCGAAATTTGAAATATTTTTTTTGATTTATTTTGCGAATGAAAAATGGAATCGTAGAATCAAATTGTGTGGAGAAAACTATTATGAAATTTTGGAAGTGCCGCAGGATGCCACCAAAGTGCAGATCGAAGCGGCTTATAAGCGTTTGGCCCGGCTGATACATCCCGACAAGAATAAGGGCAGCGGCTCAGACGATGTCTTCAAGAAACTTGGCACAGCCAAAGATGTCCTCATGGATGATGCTATACGTATTTTCCAATTTTAGAAACATATTTCCCGTTTATGAAGCATGATTACACGAGAGAGACCCATAAAGTGGCCAGTTCTTTGTATGTGATTATCGTTAGTGAATTGATCCAGTCGGCTTTTGTACGTCGAGAATGTCTTCAATACATCTTCTTTCTCCATTCGATCCATTCGACTGTGAGATAAAACAATCAATTAGCTGTTGGCAAATGCATGACACTAAAGAGTTATCCAAAGCTTACAGAATTACCACCTTACGCGGAACTCTCTCCTTGTGGTTGCTGTAAGAAATGTAATAAATGAGTGCACAAATTGATCCTACTTTTAGATAGAGTTACTCAGATTCTGGTGTCGAAGAGATTTTGGTTACCATTACCATTACCATTAATTTCGGTTTTTGTTTTCATCTTACTTCCACTCCAGAAGCATCGAGCAAAGGCATCGAAAAAATACTCTCAACCTCGAAACGAAGCAAAAATGATATTTTTCGATGTTTTTGCTACCAGGCGAACTGAAAAATCAGAAAGCGCCTTTCGCAGCTGTTAAGCTGCGCTGCTCCTTAACAGCACACTGTTGTGGCGAACAGGCCGCTGTTTAACATAACATGTGATGTTAGAAGTGCCCGTCTAGCCGAGTGGAGGCGCCAATGGGCTTTCCAACCATGTAAATGAAATAGCTTTCTTTTTAAAAACGAATGCCATTGACGTTATGCTTATTTCAGAAACACACTTCACTAGCAAATCTTTTTTTGGAGTTATTGGATACGACACAGTAGGAGCTGACCATCCATCAGATAGAGCTCATGGTGGTGCTGCAATTATTGTAAAGCAGGGCCTTAAATTTCAAATCATGGACAGTACTAGGGAAAACGCTTTGCAGGCTGCCCCAACGCAAGATTCACAATAAAAGAACTCGATTTTAAAAACGTTTTCCAAGGACTGGGAACAAAGTTAATCGTGGGAGGCGGCTTCAATGCCAAACATCCATGGTGGGGATCCAGATTAACTAACCCGAAGGGATCGGAGTTATACAAATGCATACGAAACAATAACATAACAACTTTGTCAACTGGTGTGCCCACATACTGGCCAACAATTCCAGATTTAATTGATTTCGTAGTATTCTCTGGAATCCCACAATCGCATTCGGTTTCTCATTCTTGTATTTAACGCGATTCTCAGACTAGACCACTTTCCAAGTCAATGGAAATGTGCAGAGATCATTGTGGTCCTAAAGCCAAACAAAATAGAAACGGAATTGACATCATACCGTCCCATTAGTCTGTTGACAATATACTCGGAAGTGTTTGAAAAAATACTATTGAAGAGAATTTAGCCAGCTTTGGACGAACTTTCCATCATTCCTGCATACCAATTCGGATTCAGGAGAGGTCACGGGTCACTTGGTCGCTGTAAGAAATGTAAGAAATGAGTGCACATCTCGTGTGGAGTTTTGTATGTAATTCACACACCTTTCGGATGTTGAGATTTCTAGACTGCTGGAGCTTGAGCTGGAGCTGTCCATATCGTCAATATATTCCAGCTGCATATTGAGATAGCAATCATTTTTCAATGGGGTAAAACCTGGCAAATGGTCATCTGAATAGGAATCCTCATATTCGGTGGAATCCACTTGGACTTGGATGTGACCACATGCATGCAATTTCCGAACAGGCTGCTCCCCCACCATATCGAGCAGGTCCCCGCAATCAATTTCCACTTGGCAGGCGTCACCCAGTGATAGTTATACGATTTCTTGCCAACGGTAGTGACCGGGCTCGGCAGCACTTTGGTGTGGCAGAATATGCGTTGCTCATTATACTGCAAGTGAATAGTTAATTATATAAATATCGCAGGTGGGTACAGCACCATATCTACCTTGTATCTTTGCACAACAAACTGGAATTCACGGATGGTTGTAAAGGCCATTATGTTCAACAAACAGCTATTTTATCAAACACAAAATATAAAGCGGCGTTCGCGACAAATATCAGTTGTAGTCAGTGTGACCGCGCACTTATCTATTAAATACACTATCAAAACCTCTAAAAGAAAGCGAAATATACCTTCTCATTTTCAAAATATTTTGTAATGAAAATCAAAGCAAGAAAAACGTTGCGAAAATTACGACTTAATACCACAGCGTGGCGGCCAAGTCGTTGACATCTGCGGACATCTTTGGCTTTGCCAATTGCCTTGAAGACATCGTCCGCGCCGCATTTCTTATTCTTTCAAGTGTCGTAACATACCGTCCCCACCCACGTAACTTGTTTGCCTTTTGTTTAATCAATCCAATAATGATAAGTCATGAAAGCCAGCCGTTCTTGTGGAAAATTGATTGATGAGTCAGATGAAATTATAGTTTAAGCGCTGAGAATCCTAACTAGCTGGTAATATTAAATAGATGTTGCATTCGAAGGAAATAGATCGGCAAAATACTGGATTTAGCAGTATTTTTTTGGAGGTTAGCAGGTCGATAGTCGAAGGGGCAAGGCGATAAATGGTGCCGGAGAATGATAGAAGGGGAAAATAGTAGAGTGGCTCGAAAACATTGCGGGATCCACGAGCCATCTCACCCACACCCTCAAAAAAATGCCATGCCATGCCCTTGAACTTGGTTCAAGGGCAATAGAAGAGATGGGATCAGCTGCAGTGAGAGGGACTGCATAGGGCATGCATTTAGTGGGAAAATAAACATCGTCTGTGTCGAAGAGATGATTGTCCGTTAGATGTAGAGTAAAGTCCGATGTATTTTTTTTGAATTATCGTTTGTTTTGGTATTTGTTCGAGATGTCTGAACAGTTGGTTTGTTGAGCGACCAGGGGCTTGGGAAAAACTCAGCCCTGGGATGCTGGCTAGCCGACCTTGCCCCAACGCCAAAACAGGTTCGTTTCATAGAACATCAAAGTCGAGGAAAATTATTTAAGATTTACGGTATATTTTGCCATTAAAAGGGTATATTTCGGTATATCTACAAGGGTCTGAAGGCATATCTTATCGATAATTTCGCGGTCACACTGTATGTATGTCATGTCAGCATAAATTGAGTAAAAACTATAAACTTGACGTGAGATTAGCAGAAAAGTGAAGTTGCAACTAAAGAAGCCGAGCGCCGCACTGCCAACCAGAAATCGTGCAAAATGAGTGGGGATGTGGCTGCCGAAAATGTAAGTAATTTTTTGTATGTGTGTTGTGTTGGTAGGGTGGTAGGAGGCGAAAGAAGGCAAATGTCGTGGTAGAGCAAGCAGGAAGGCCGCAGTCCCGAGAGAGCGAGTGAGCAGGCGAGTGAGAGAGAGACAAGAAGAAAGCTGAAATTGTTGAGCTCAGCAGCCGAAAAGCAATTGCAATGCGTGCAATTAATCAATATGTGTGTTGTTAACAATGTGCTAATGCTAAGTGAAAAGTGCAAACCATAGGAAAAGGCGCAGCCCAAAGCTCAGAGGCAGGCAAGTGCATTATACGTACATATGTATAAAAATTGTGTGGTGTGTGCCCCCATGCCATGGAAGTGGAGGATAATTGTAATGAATGCTAATGCATTTTTGTAGGTGCGTTTGTGGTGTGTGTGTGTGTGTGTGAGTGGCTGGCCGGCGTGAGTGTGTGGCTGTGAGTCTGTGTACGTGAGAGCCAGGAGAGCAATAATTAAATTAAGCAAAGGTGCTACAAGCATTAGCACGGCGAGTGAATGGGTGGGTGGCTTGTGTATCTTTATGTGTATATACACAGTGACAAATTTCTAATAAGAATTTTTATGTTATCGGTGGCTGCACTCTCGTTTGCTCCCACTCTCTCTGGTGTTTGCCAAATGCATTATACATAAAGCGACACCTATAAAAATGCGCTATTACACAGAGGTAGGTGGGAGAGGCGGGGTAAATACTAGCAAACGACGTACTACGAAAACGACGACGCACACGACAATAACGATGTGTGTGCGCGCTTTCATGTGTGTGTGTGTGTGTGTGTGTGTGTGGGGGCGACCAGCGCGCTGGATTTTTCCGGCTACTCCTTTTGGGCGCCTCTTTGAGTCGTATGTGTGAGTTTGTGAGCGAGAGAGAGAGTGTGTGTGTGTGTGTGTGAGAGAGTCTTTCTGTGGAAGCTGCATGCGGCTAGCGGTACTTTTTTACGCACTTCAATTTCCAATTGGAAATCTGCTTTTCCTTTAGTTGGGGGAGTGTTTCACCCCCCCTCACTTTCCGTACCATCGCTCGAAGAAGGCCCCTCTCCCTTGAAGAATCCTCAAGCCGAAATCCGAAATTGGGAATCTCCGCCCAAAAAATTCCTGCCATCAATTTTCTCTGCGCACAAGCAGCACACGAGCCGCACCGCACGACGACGACGATGATGGAGATGCGGTGTTGGGTGCAGCACGTAAAGGAGCATTCGCGGGGCAGGGGGAGGCTGTGAATTGTGGGTGGGGGGTGGCAGGACGAAAAACGGCGCACGCAACTGTCATTGACCTTCAATTGCATTCGTTGCAAGTTGCAAGCGACGACGACGACTACGACGACGCCGCACCCAAAGGTCATAGGTTGTGCCTCGCCTGCAGTCCACCACAGTCCAGAGTTGGCCACACAGTCCGCTGTGTCGGATGGATGTGCGATGTGCGAAAATTTAACTATTTCTAGGCGCCTACTCATCGTCTCTATCCTCTTGTCTTTCCGCACAGCTATCGCCTCGCTTCTGAGAAAATGGAATCATCCATTAAGCTTAAGGACAACAACTCCAATCCCAGCAGCAATTCGAATGGCAACAATGGAGCAGGAGCAGCAACAGCAGCAGGAGGAGGCGGTGGCAGTAGTGGCTGTGGCAGTGGCAGCGGTGGCGGTGGCGTCTGTGTGTCCAGCATCTGCAGCAGCGATAGCTTCAGCATCATGCCACCGCCACATCATGAGCTGGTTAGCGCCAACAGCATCGAGCTGAATGCGGCCGCCTCCTTGAGCGATGACAGCGGTGTACCATTGACTACCAATAGCTCCATATCCAGCGGTGATTCCTATCGCATCGGAATGTGCAAATTCGAAATTGAGGTAAGAGCCAGCAGCCGAGAAAATTTCGTTGGTGATCGTTCCAATCGAATGCTAAACCCTTCCTTCTCTCTGCTCCCTTTTTAGATGGTGGAAAGCGATGGCGAGGTCTCACAATTCGATTCGCTGGACAATTGCTCGGAGGGTGGCATGAGTGCCGAGAACTTTAATACACTGAAAAAGGGTCCATTGGCCCCCATTGATCCGCCGCCCGAGTTCCAGGACTCGCCACAGACAACGCTGGTGCGTTCCATCTCTAAGAACATTGTCAACAGCCTGCGTCGTTGGACCTCATCGCAGTCATCGTTTGAGCATCTGAAAGATGATGTGACGACGACGACGACGGCCAGCACCATAGTGGCAGTGGAGCCCCCAACAAAGAGCGCTGCTGCTGTGGCTGTGGCAGTGGCAGTGATGGCCAGAGCAGAGCCAGCAGAGCAAAGCCAGGCAAAGATCTGCCAAATGGAGGTAATAGAGAGCACCCATCTGAGTCTCAAGGAGTCGTATGCCATAAATAAGCATCTGTATGTGAGTGATTCGATACTGAACAGCCACACGGATAACATTTACGATGAGCCCAACAACATCATCAGTAGCTCGTTGGGCAACAGCGTGGATCTGCTGGAGGACGAGGGGTGCTCCGATCAGAGCAGCTGCTCGCCACTACCCTCACCGCCGCCGCCCGTCTCCATCATCAAGATTAAGCAGACACTGTGCCCCTACTATCAGGATCATACGCGCTACTTCAAGGCCATACCCACGGAGCAGGACAGCATTGCGAGTGCCAAGGCGGCGGCAGCCGCTGCCTCTCAGCAGCGTTTCAATTTCAATTCGGCCGGTCTCTCGGAGATCCATGATTACGATTTGTATTACGGGGCTCGACGACAGCCGCCAGCGGACAACAGCAGCTTGAGCCTGCAGCGGAGGCAGGCCACCCTCTACAGCCCATTGGGTGGGCATACGAGTCACTGTCACTACCACAACAACAACAACAACAGCAATAGTAGCAGTCAGGGGCACTACAACCACCCGTACAACAGCCATCCGCATCCGCATCACCATCATCATCATCACTACAGCGGGGGTACAACTGCCTCCAGCCATGGGCACGGCCAGCGTCCGAATTCGAGGAATTCGTTGAACAGTCGCCTGAGCAGCTCGCACAATTCCCTGAATGTTTCGTCGGCGAATAAGCCCGATGACTCCATCTTCATAACGCAGGCCATGTCCCACGATGCTCTGTTTACCCGCGAGATCTCAGACTTTTATAATGTACCCATCGATTCGGATATTTATGCGTTTCCCGTGGACATGATCGAGCAGCAGCAGCAGCAACTAGAGAAGGAAAAGGAGAAGGAGAAAGAGCGGCTGGTGACGGCAGCGGCTGTGACAGTGGCAGGATCTGGAGCCCCACCATACCACAAGGCTGCCAGCAGAAGGAATAAACGCAACAAGCGCAAGCAGCGACATGGAGGAACGACTGCCGCGGGAGCGGGGACCGAGACGAGCGATGGGGATGGAGAAAAGTCTGGGAAACATGGAAAATATCGCACCCCAGTGGGACAGGGACAGGGGCAAATGAGCGAATCATCGGAGCCGCTGCACATGACCCTGGACGAGGTGAAGCAATTCTATCACACACTCTATTCGGATGCGGGAAAGTCCTGTGCATCCTCGGGGGGTGGACCCAAACCGATGCTGGTCAAGTCCAGCAATGAGACCATCTGGAGTGTGTCCACGGCCACAACGAATGCCACAACGACCACAGCGCGAACGCGCAGCAGCGTTGGCACCTCAAATCGTTCGACAAATGCTGCGGGCGCTGGTGGCGGTGGATCTGCCAGCGATGGTGGCAAGTATCTCAGCAAACAGAGCAAACACAATCTGGACAATGATAAGCTCAACAACAACAATAATAACAACAACCAGCAGACGCCCTCGCAACAGCAACAGCAGCAGCTGCAGCAGCAGCAGAACCTGCAACAGCAACAGTCATCGGAGAAGCCTCCCGCAGGAGAGTTGCAATTGCACCTACAGATGCAACACCACCAGCAGCAGCAGCAGCAACAGCAACATCCGAACAACAAGCATGTGGTGCACTCGGAGAAGAAGTCACAGTTTACGCTCAATCTCAAGCAAAAATTCTGCAGCATCTTTCGCTTTCGTCGGAATCATCATAGTCGTTGCCGTGCCGCAGCCGCCTCTGTGGCAGCAGCGAATGCGGCTGCAAATGCGAATGCCACGAGTGCCACATTGGCTGTGGAAGCAACAGCTTTGACGGCCGAGAGCCAGGACCAGGAGTCGTCACCAGCAGCAGCAGGTGCAACAACAGCAACACCAGCCGCCCCAGGGGAGTCGTCAACCGACGAGGGACTCAAGAAGTTCCAGTCGCGTGCACTGCCACCATTACCAAAGAAGGGTAAGTCGATACCTTCTACTGCCATCCACAGAATCTCTCATGTTCCTCCTCTTTTTTTTCAAGCAGCAGCCGCCTATGCCATAGATGAAGCTGTCGAACAGCCCGAACAGGAAGATCAACAGCAAAAGAAGCAACCTGGTGGCCCAGAGCCGCGTGCATTGCAGTTTACCTCAAGCATTGAAAAAGTCAAAGATGTAAGCAAGGGACACTGTCCACTGCCCTTTGATGCCGTTCTATACCTTTATCTATTTGAAATCTTTGTTGCCTTTGCAGTACGGCTGGTACTGGGGTCCCTTGTCTGGGGAAGCGGCCGAAAAAGTGCTCTCAAATGAGCCGGATGGTTCGTTTATTGTACGCGATAGCTCCGACGATCATTACATCTTCTCGCTGAGCTTCAAGCTGAACAATTGTGTGCGACATGTGCGCATTGAACAGGATCAGGGTGAGTCCACCTATACCTAAATATGCTAGGGCGCATCCTTATCCTTTTCCTTTAATGACTGTGCTTTTAGGGACCTTCTCCTTTGGCTCTTATGCAAAATTCAAGTCCCAAACCATCACCGAATTCATTGAGAAGGCTGTCGAGCATTCGCGAAGCGGCAGGTGAGAATAAACCGCAAGGCTTCGCCCCTTGGTTCTCAACTAATTTGCTAATCTCTTTGTGTACTATTTCAGATATTTATTTTTTCTGCATCGCCGGCCAGAGCATGGACCAATGCGTGTGCAATTAACCAATCCAGTATCTAGATTTAAGCATGTACAAAGCTTGCAGCACATGTGCAGGTGGGTGTCCTTCCTCTATGCCTGCGGTTGCTGCGGTGGCTGCGGTGTCTTCCCCTTTTCATGTGCATCCTGCATTCGCCTAAGCTCGCGCCTCTGCTGCTTGGCCCGCTGCTTGCGGCTGTAGGGCGACCCCAAGTGCTGTTTGGGCGCAGCTAGAGGTTGAATGTAACGCGGACAGCGCATTCGTAGCCAGGCCCTTAGATATTTCAAAATTTTCAATTGCATTTTTTTGTATTATTTACACATTGTCCGAAATAATTGATTTATATTTCCATTGTATGTATTTCGGGTTTATTCCCCTTTTCAGATTTGTTATACTAAAGGCGGTTATACGAAAGGATCTAATACAGACGTTGCCATTACCAAGAAGACTTTTAGACTATCTTAACTATAAGCATTGCTACTCCGAGCAAGTGGAGTCCGACAGTTCCCATTCGCAGGTGAGTCGCAGAGTCGCATCCTATTTGAAATACTTTTAAATGTATTTTGGAATTTACTTTTTCTCTTAGATTTCTGGCGATGGAACCATGTAGGTGGTAAAAATGGAGGAGGTGGAAACGGAGAAGGAGATGGAGATGGGAATGGCAAAGGCAAAGGCGGACTCGGAAGCGATTCGCTTGTGTGTGACAAACAACAAGTAAACGAAAGCAACAGAAATTATTACCTTACATAAGTAGTAGAATTTAAACAAACGAAACAAAGGAATGCGAAAACAAAGCAAAAGCAAAAACAAAAACAAAAGTAACGATACATTAAAACCGTTAAACGTTCTATATAACAAGAACAAAAGAAACCAACAAAAGAAAACAAAACGTTAAATAAGTAAAGTAAATGGAAGAAATTGTTAGTTTTGCTAAAAATAAAACCCAAGATGAAGTAGTCGAAGCAGGAGAAGTAGAAGGAGAACAGGCGATAGAAGAACAGGAAGAGTGAAGTGTGAAGAACACGATGACGATGGAGAACACAAAATTCAAAACTCTGTTTATTGATCATTTTTTTGTACTCGGTGCTATACTATAAATATAAAAACTATTTAATGAAGGAGGAAAATGAAAGCAGACAGCAGCAAAAAGTAAGAAAGAAAAAAGAGCAACAAAAAGCAACAAACGTAAGCAGAAACGGAAACACGAAACAGAAAATTATTATTATAGATATTATAGAAACTATGCGGTAGTCAAGTAAACGAAATAACGAATTAACTGAAAGAAAAAGTGTACATACAAATATGTTTGAGAATGAGGAGCCATAATGCCACCCAGCAGAACCCCCCGCCACCCAGCCACACAGCCATCCTGCAACCGAAAACCCCGCCAACCGGATGGGGGGGGGCCTACGTTTTTCATTAATTAATTTTATGCTTGCCTTTTAGCTGTGATTTATATAAGGTGTCTGAGTCGACTATGTCGAGGAGTATTTTGTTCAAACTGCAATTTGATATTTATAGAATTATGTACACGTGTCACGACGAGAGAGAGAGAGAGAGAGGAGATCGCGAGCGCAAAGCAAATGTTAAAAGCAATCTTAAATCAAGTTCTTAAGTTCGAGCAAAGACTTTTGTTTAATGGTCGCTTTGCTTCACAAGTCACAACAATACTCGAAATCGAATCGAAAGCATGAGGTGGAAAACAAAACGATCGAAAAGAGTGGGACAGCAATAGGAATAGCAATAGCAAGAGAGAGAGAACAAAATCGGAAAAAAGCAAAAGAGAAAGAAAAGTGAAAGAGAAAGAGAAACAGAAACACCAACAAAGAGCACATGTATATGAATATTCATATTGCTTAGATTTATTTCAATTGTTGACTAATTATGGTTTCGGATTTGTTGTTATTTATGTTTTAAGCTCCCCCAAAACCCCTCGCATACCATACCATACCCCATTTACATTTTGTTTATTGTTTTTAAACATATCTACTATTATTATTATTGCTCATGATTGATGATTTGTTTATGCGTTGTATTTATTTCCTTTTTGTATAAATATATATGTATACGACATTTGTGCGTGTGTGTGAGTGTGTTTGTGGAGGAGAAGGCGGGGGTAACCACCGTCCACCCACCTTCCTCCTCCACCACACATCCAAACAGAAAAAAAACCGAAACCAAAACAAAAACAAAAATTGAAACCGAAAATCGCAGTGAAAATTCTTGGGTTCATTTTTGGGGTTCTCCTGATACCTTCCACTCAACCTTTAACTCCCCGCCACCGCTTCGGGAAGCGAATGAACGAACAATTTAAAGAAACAAAACAAAAACAAACAAAAAACCAAAAATATTTGTCTATGGAAATTAATATAAACGAACGGATGATAGAGAGAGATGCAAGGAGTAACTAGGACAGAGGGAGAGGGAGATGAAGGAGTACCGGAGGGTCACAGCAAATGAGCAAAAACAACAAAGTCAATATAAAGACAAATTTTTAATAATAAAAAGTAAACAATGAAAAAAAATCGTCGAAAATTCTTTTATTTGTAAGAGCTTACAATTTGGAATTAGAAATCAAATTCTGCAATGTCGACAACGACTGCAGGGAGAACCTTTAGTCTTTGCGGCGACCTAAAGCGGATCAAACTCACATTTTTTCATTGAAGCTTCTCATTTTGCTCGCTGATGGCCATGTTGGCGCTGCCCACCTTGCACTCACATTTTTTTCTGACAAAAGAGGGCGAGCTTAGGTTCACTTTTTATGCGATAGAGTGCGCTACGGGGCTTCTTATTCTACACAAGAGAGGGTGCGCATGGTGATGTTTTTACACGGAAGATGGCACTGCTGGGCTTCCTTTATGTACACAACAGATGGCGCTTAATATAAAATGTTACCCAGGTGGAGCTATAGAAAAATGGTGCTGCCATCTAGTGTTCACGATACAATAGATTAAATGCCAGCAAAATGTTGCATGAAATAAAAATGCAATTTTAAAACGGGTCACTTTGAGTACGGGGGTATATCGGAATCGTTGAAATTTACGCTTGTAGATCCAAAAATAAAATGGAAAGGCACATATGTATGTATAGATGAATATATTTGCATCTAGGATTAATAGCTGAGCCCACACTCGATGTATGCTAATCCAATTACCAATCAAAATCAGCTGGAAACAATCAGTGCACACAAATTCGAAGCATTCGTCTGGATATGAATTAACAAATTAATGAACTTAGGAGAACAGGATATCTACATTGTCGAGGCACTCGATTAAAACGATTTGTGGATTTTTGGCGCCATCAGGAGCTCATGACAGAAAAACGTAAGTCTAGATGGAGCCACAGGTCTTGAATTCAGTTAAATTCAAGCAAAAAACAATGAATTCAGAAGAAATTATTATTATATGCCCACCAAATGAGTGGCAACATTTATCAGTTGAGTCGAAAGATCAAAATGGGGATATCAATATCATTTTTCTTCCTATACTTTTGGAAAATCTGGAGTCGCTATGTAACGGATTTCAAGGGGAGCGCCTCTTGGAAAGACCTGGAAACTGGTCGACTTTTGATGTCTCTTTGTTTCGGCATTTTGGTGCTGTTGTTTTATTTGTGCCTCCACCTCATGTTGCTCCTCTGTTGCATTTCGTGTTTTTTGTGGCTTTTCATTTTTCCCAAGCAACGAGCAGCAACCGTCTTGTGATTAATTACATTTTCTTTTACCAGTTTTCTCTTTAGACGTTTTTTCAATTCAATTTTTTTGGCTTCGATAGTGGACTGTGTGGAGTGTGTGGAGTGTGCAATGCAGTGCAGCGCCGTCAACGTCGCTATTTGAAATTAAATTTTGATTAATTGCAGCAGCCGATGGACTGAGTTTCGACGTTCGATGGCCCGATGGTCGGCACCTTTTTGGTGTTTTGTGTGTGTGTGTTTTTTTTTTGTTTTTTTTTTTGTTTTTCTCTCTGTTGTGGACGGCGCTACGGGAAAAGTGTTTTGCAGCCGCGCTCGGAATTCGCTGCACTTGCCGACAGTCGGCCTGCCCCGCACTCCTCCTCAACCTCAACCTCAACCTCACCCTCCCGCTGGGATGAGGATGAGGATGAGGATGAGCGGACGGCACTGTCTGTCAAGAAAAAACGATGTCTGGAAACGAAATAATTTTCAGGTGTGAAAAATTTTGAAATGCGCTTTCAATTTGCGCTGCCCGAGCCGACAACCGAATGCACAAGGAAGCAGCAGCAGGAGGAGAGGCAGAAGAAGGAGGAGTGGCAGCAGCAGCAAAAGAGCGCGCCCCATTAACGCAGCAACCAAATAAAGTCATTACCAATGGACTTGGCAGGAGCAGGAGCAGGAGCAGGAGCAGGAGGGGCAGGGCAGGAGAGTCAGGAAGAAGATTGGCAGCGGCAGCGGCAGCGGCAGAGGCAGAAGGCAATAGGCGAGAGGAACAAGTAGTAGAGGGCAGGGAAACGGCAGTGGTTACCTTCTAATGTGCCCCCAAACAATTTGCTACATAAACCCTGCTGCTGCTGCTGCTGCCACACCTACCTGCTGCGAGTGCCAGTGCCACAACATGCAATGTGCTTCAGCCTGTCCAACGTCCACTGTTGGCCGGTTCGCCCGTTTGCCCGTCTGCCTCATAGCCATGGCCAGCAGCCCACTCTGTAGTCCTAGAAAAGACGGCCCTAGTTTGCAGAAGGCATCCCCCGCGCCGCCTCCCCAAACCCACTTCCAAAAGTCACTTTTCGTGTCTGCAGAGCCGGGACTGCAGTGCCTCCACTCTCGTGGCGGCTCTGTTGCTCTCTGAGACTGAGACTGAGACAGAGACCTGGAGATCAGATAACTCAATTATTCGCGGCGTAAACAAATGCTGCCTTTCAGGGTTTTTAGCCAACATCCCAACAACCCGTCCAACGTCCAACGTCCAACGTCCATCTGCTGCCTCCCAGTGCCAGAGCCCTCTGGTGCCCTGATGCGCCGCCTCCTGCCAAGCAGGATGGAATGGGAATGGGGGAATGGGGGAATGGGCATGGGTTATTATCCCAGGCATAAATGGATTGTAAACGTGATTTTTATAGTCATTTAGCATAATAATGCATTTTATGGTCTTAGCCCAGTCGGAAAGGAGCACTCGGACTTGGACTCGGAATGGGACTGCTGTACCTGGGCACTCGGGTACTTGCGCCAGCCTTCACTCTGGATTGCCGCCCAGACTCTCAATCGGCTCTCAACTAACACTTCAATCGGCTCGTACTCATGGACTCAGTGGTAGAGGCATTTTTCCCTTTTCGCGTAAATGAGTCTAGAGAGATTTGTGCTCCCACACTGTTTACGGTTTAGTTGAAAGATGATTCTCGTCTTCTCTTCCGTTTGCTGTGGCATGAGGGCAAAAGTTGTCGCTCTACGCCATCCCAGAATAATCATGCAAATATTTGATGACACTTCAATGTTGTCTACCCTTTCTACCCCCCAAACCTCTAACATAAAGTCACGTTATGCTGGCAACGTATAAACGCATTTCTCAAAGAGGAGTTCTTTGTTTTGGAGGGGATCTCCGTCGAGTCTCGGAATCTTTTAACCAATTTGCGCACCGTTCACGTTTGTTATTCACGCTTTTCAATTGAGAACATGCCGCCAGATGCAGCAGCACTTCACTTCACTTCTACAGCCCTGGTGGTGGGGCAGGGGATCACGGCTGGGGCCTCGTTTTATTGTTTGTCTTCTTTATTACAAGTTAAAGCGTAATTACTCAACAAATATGCGGCAATTTGCAAGCGAACAGCGAAAAGCGAAAAGCGAAAAGCGAACCGACGCAGCTCCAAAGAGAGCCCCAGAGAGAAGGAACACGAAGCTGAAGCTGCAGTTAAAGTTGAGTCTCAAGTTGAAGATGAAAATGAAGATGGAGGGAGTCCTACACAAGTTTCCTTGCGATTGCCGTGTGCCCCTGGGGTTGCTGCAAATGCCCGAAATCAATCGACCAAAAATGTCTGGACTGTAAATTTGTATTTTATTTTTTTTTGCCACTCACAAAACTGGAGCTGACTCTGCAGCTGTGTGTGTGTGTGTGTGTGTGTGTGTGTGTGTGTGTGTGTGTGTGTGTGTGTGTGTGTGTGTGTTGCTTATTGATGTTAGCCGACAACCAACCGATGCAGTCGGAGCACATGGAGCAGTCAAATGAAATGAAGTAATCCAATTTGCCCACCGGTTGTCCTCTTGGCCAAGGGCCCAAGCTGCTTATTAGTGTTTCTCTTCACCCTCCAGCCCCTCCAACGCACCTACCGCTCCCTGCATCCACCAGAGCATTGAGTGACGGACTGCTACTCGTTGGCTTGGCATTGGGTTTGCGGATTCTGACAGACATTTAACGATGCCCCCAACAAAATGCGCATAAAACGTTGTTAACTTTTCCATAAATCTCAATTTGATGACCCACCCAGTGGGAAGTGGTTTGTGGGAGGACTCGGGTTGGGGTGTTAGGCGTTCGTCCTTGTCAACCATTCCTCTTCATTGTGCTGCCCGGCATTATTATCGCAATACTTATCAAACAATAAAGTGAACTAAAACACACACACAAAAGCCCTGCACACTGCGACGAGTGTATGTAGATTTATTTTTGTATGATTTATACTCGCATTTTGGTGCATCTTATCTTTGGTTTCTGATCCCGACAAAACCGCACGCGACCTTCATAAAAATATGAAAGTAATTTTCAAATTATTTCCAGCAGGGCAGCATCTCCCATCACCCATCTCCCATCCCGTATCCCGTATCCCGTATCCCGTCTCATCATCTCATCGCATCTATGTACATTTTGTCGGGTGTCGTTTGACTGTCAGAAATGTCGAATGTTTATCAAAACAAGTAAATCGCATAAAAATAGAGCCATTGTGAAGGGGGCTCTCGTTTCTGGTCGTGTGCCCCTGGCCAAGGGGAGGATTCTACGGCTGTTTCTCGATGCTTGTGCGAGGGTTCGAGGGTTCAAGGATTCGAGTATTCGAGAGGGTTCTGTCCGGAGACAATGTTGATGTTGGTCTCCTGATTAGCCGCCGCCACCGCCACCGTCGCCACAGCAGCATATACACTCGTAAATCGTACTTAAGCCATTATAAATTGTTATCCCATCATCCCATTGGACACGACCGACAATTCATCCGGAATATTGCTCTGCTGAATGGGAATATCAAATCTGTGTACAATTATCTCAAGTCCAAATGCATGGGAGAGTGTCTGCTAGGATATGCCTAGAGTCCACAGCAGAATTAGTTCATCTTTCGCTTCTCCTCTCAAAGTTCTCATAAGTGTTTGCAGAATCGAACGACCGAGGGGCTGTGCTGCATGACACGCCACTTGTATTGGGCGCTCCGATTAAATATCGAGTAAGCTTTATTCTCTTCTCTTCTCTTTACTTTGTTTTATTTCTGGAAGAGATGTTTCCTGTTTCCTGTGCCAGTTTAGTGCCTGTTTCAGCCTCGCTGTGTATTCTGTGGACTCTATCATGTGGTTGCGGATATATTTGTTGTTCTGCCTAATCCCATTGCCATTGCCATTGGCATTGGCATTCTCTTTCTCATCATCTTCTCACGCTCTAAGCAACTATTAGCGGGCCACTTTACAGGCAATACCCGCTAAGCCCAAACCAAAGAGACAAGCCCAGTCTCACCCAGTCACCAGAGCAAACAAATCGGACTCCCAGGCAGACGCTAATCCTTGTCGATTGCTCACTTTAATGCCGGCCACCCTCCGGGGCTATACGCCTGCTGCCTGCTGCCTGACACCCTGACACCCTGCCACACTGCCTCCTTGCCTGCTCCTGGCTGTGCCTTCTATTTGCGTCATGTTGTACATGTTAAGCCGACAAATCGGTTGCGATTGATTAAAGTGCGAGTCGAGCGCCGTGCTCTCTCTCTCTCTCTCTCTCTCTCTCTCTATCGCTCTTCATCCCCGTCGATTGCTATCTTGACTTCAGTTTTCGGAACGGTGAGGGGGAGCTTCGAGGTTTTTCGATTTTTGGTCTTTGGTTTGGTTGCTGGTTTTTTTGTTGTTGTCGTTGTTTTGGGCTTTTGGAAATCTGACAAAAGCCTGTACCCGTCTCGAAAGGTAAGCCGCTGACGGCGTCCACCTTGTCCTGTCAGGGCAGCTCCTTTGTTGTCCTTTTTGCGCTAAGCGCGTGAAATTTGTCATATCCTTATCGGCACACTGCCGCCGTCTCATCCTCATCCACATCCTCATCATCCTCTTTGGTGGTTAGTTTTGCATGCAGGCAGCAGCAAAGGAGGCGTGAAATATCCACAGAATGTGCCACGTACTGCGAGGGGCAGGCAATCCTCTCAAGCGTTTTGGTCCCAGCGGAGGCGATGGCTCTTGTGGTTTGCAAGCCGTGAAATCGAGGCGTGTGCACCGTGTGCTTTTGGGAGCGAGTGCCAAGGATTTGCGACTTACTTGCCACAACGAATGGGTCACCATTTGTGGGACATTCCCCGAAAGAGTCCCCAGGGGCACACCAATGGATCTTCGCTTGGTTTCGCCACAACTTGAAGGGCCCTTAAATATATATTTGCTGGGCGAATTACCAGTGTGCTAGGGTCTTTGCCATCCCTTTGCCATAATTGTCAGACAGAAACTTTTCACCATTTTGCATGCTCTGCGGCCGCTGGTCACTTCCGCTGGTCTGCCAGGATCCCCAGCTACGGTGAGTCCTTCCACAGGCAATCAGGCAATCAGTGCTGCGCAGCCAGGCAGCCAGGCAGCCTGGTGACTATCCCACAGTTTTTTGAGAGATCTTCTGTGGCAATTAATGCGCCACCTGATCGGCCTTGGGCTGCGCGTTACGTTTCCGCGCTCCAGTTATGCTCCACTTGCCACTGGCTGGCTGGCTGGCCACGCCTCTTTCTCCACCGTTGGGGCACTGCCGCTGTTACAATTTTGTCGCTCTGTTGTTTCCTTTTTTGTTTTGTGGCGGCAGTAATTAACAGCTTCTGCTTTTGCCACTCTTTCAGGCACCCTCCAGCAGCCCGTCTCTTGTGGCCGCCTCTTCCTTGCATTCGCTTGTGGCTGGCCCTTTTTTGCATATGCAATGCGCAGGCATTGCGTTTATTAATGTCATCAACGCCCCAGCCATAGCTCCAGTTGCAGCTCCAATTGATGCCCCACGGTTCCTCCCTCCTACATCTCCCCTCGGCAGCACAGTGGAGTTGACAACTCAATTGTTTGCAGTGCCAGTGCGACGCTCATCATCAGACGCTCGACGTCAATTAAAATGATTTCTTGCGATCGGCAGGGCAGCAGCAAAACACACACACACACACAAAAAAAAAAAAAGCAAAAAGACTAATTAAACGCCTAACAGTAAGCCAAAGGCACTGTGCGGCAGGGGGGGGGGGCACAAAAAATTGGAGCTAATTTGATTAATATGCCACTGCCACGGCCACTACTGAATGGGGCTACTGTGGGCCTAATGATGGGAAGTGCGAACGCATTTTGGCTCCCAAGACGCGTAGCGCGTAATTGCGAAAGTAATTAGTGTAAAAGCGTTCAATTGCGATACACTTGCCCCCGCCAACCCCTCTACACAGCTGGCAACTGTACATCGAAGGGGGATCCCAGCATTCAAATCGTTAACCCAAACACAAGTGCCAGCCCTGCCCTGGCCTGGCCCCCCCCCCCCATTTAGGTGCAGCTTTCTGAACTCAAAGCAGGACTATTTTCCAGTAATATGTAATTAACGTTTATTCGAAATCTAAATTGGGAAAAAGGATTGAATGGGACGCCGTCTATTGGCGGTTGCAACGGCGACGGCGACGACGAAGACGAAGACGAAGAGCCTCCAAGGAAAATTTATTTGTCTGAAACGATGCAAGGGGAGGATGAAGCATTGCCACTGGAATCATTGATTGACTGCCCACCTGTTTTGGCAACAGTCTAACTGGGAAGACAAGACGCTTGCCCCCCTGGGGCATGTGCAAAATGCCATTCTGCACCGCAAAGATCTCCAAGGATATGCCCAGCATCAGGCCAAAGCGCACAGCTTTCTGGAGGACACCGAACGATGTGATGACTTGGGGCAGCATTTGTTCATCCAGCAAGACACGCTTGAACATTTCCTGCACAGTGCAGCCTGCGAGTGGAGGGGAAAGTTCACTCCCAGACTAGTTTTTGGCACCTTCAAACACTCACACTGATGGGGCTGGGCCAGCAGGAAGCTCAGTATTTTGGGAAAAGCCGCTGGGCACGAGTTGGTAACACTTTGAGAAGCCATTTCGCACTTTTTAATAAAGGTTTACAAAGAATTCCAAATATTAACGAATTTTTTTTTCTAATATTTGTTTCCGCTTTTTTTTTCGGGAGTACACTGACGACTCGACTAATCGTAACTGAATGAAACTCCCCAGGCTTCCTGGGAGTTAACAAATGTTGTTGGAAAATGCTCAACCCAGCAGCATTTAGCTTTAGGGCATTTATAACTTGTCAAAACACAACACAAACAAACACAACACAACACAACAGAGATTGAAATTATTATTTAAATTGCTGCAAGTGGAAAATAAAATTCTGATTATCTACCAGAATGGAGAGCCCCGATCAGAATCCCTATGCATCGCTGCTGCCACACATTGTGGACATGTTGCACGGCAAGCCACGGCAGAGTAAGTACTCAAAAGGGGTTTCAAGAGGGGATGCGACTGGGGCACTTAGGCATCCTTCCACTTGCAGGCGCCACTTTGGATCAAGTGTGCGCTGGTGTCGAATCGTTGGCTCAGCTGAATGAAGCCCTGATGCAGCACATCAGTTGCTTTGACAGCCTCCAGGCCGCTGTGCAGTTTGGCATCGGGTTGGGCGTGAGTATGGGAATCTTGACAAACTCAAAGGACACTCTGCGCCTTGGGTCCAAGCTGCATGTGCGCAGCACTGACAATCAGCAGTCTACACTCGGCGTTGAGGTTGAGCACAAGGATCTTCGGACCAGGGTCCACAAATTTGAGGAACCTCTGCACAACGAGCTGCTGCAGGAGCTGATGTTCAGCGATGAGGCTGGTCGGCAGGCTTACAGCGTCGATGGGCCCCTCATCCCAGGCCGTACACTCCGATCGGCCATGAAGCGTGTGCCTGGAGCGGTAGGCATTCAATTACCCCCACAGATCACTGACCCACTGACAATTCCTCCTTCAGGAAACAAACCAATCAACCGCCGATGATGTTTAAGCCCCAAAAAAATGATTATTTATTTGTGCGCTATAATTTGGAATTCAAGGCTCAATTAATGCTTCAGACTTTGACGTTAACTCCATTATTGCTGAGGTAATAAATATCATTCTGGATATTCGCTCTTATAGCTGTACCTGGTGGAAGTCCCGGGAGGATTCACCACACCCAAGGCCCCAGCAGATAACTTATTCACCACGAGCAGAGACACAAGCGCTAGAAAGGAATAGAGCTAGGCTCCCCTGCGGTGAAGACTTCACCTTGCACAGCAAAGAGCGAGAGAGAGAGAGAGAGAGAGAGAGTCGCTAAAGAGAGTCTGTCGGAGATTCTGTAAGAGTGGGTGAGGAGCAACAGGAGGCGGAGAAGAAAAGGCCGCGCACCATTTGCGGCTAATTTTGTAAATCATGATATCGTAATTAATTTTTGCAGCAGGCAACGCAGAAACAACCAGGCAACAATACGTGGCAGGCAGGCAGGCAGGCAGGCAGGCAGGCAAACACCAACACAGCACAATACACTGAAAAGGGAACCGCATCGGCGTTGCCTTCTCCTCTTCCCACCATTCGCGCGTTTTAGCCAGAAATCCTCAGAGTCAAAGGGAGAGTCGGAGCCGCAGTCTTGGTATCTGCCACTCCGTGTGGCACATACAGAGAAAGAAACCAAAGAAAACCAATTAATATTTGAGCAATGCTCCTGCGGCAACAATTAAAGTCAACGGCAACGTTGCAATGCAGCAACAAAAGGCTGAAAAGGCCTGCAAAGGCTGCAACGCCAGCGGACACGAAAAGATTTTTATTGAGATCTCAAAGATGCAAAGTGATTTGAATTTGATTGCACCGCGCGTGCGCTGTGGCAGCGTACCCGCCAATGATTCCCTCTGTGGCATCTTCATCCTCATCCTCATCTGCCTCTCGCTTCTGGCCCGTCGTTTGTCGGCCAGGCCGCGGCGCAGTGGGGCGTCAGAGGTGTGAAAACCCTGCTGGGTCTTAATGCAAGCTAATAAGAAGCAGACACCGAGTGGTGCACGTTGCAGGGTGCACGGTGCAGGCGGCAATACAAAAGGAGAGCTCCGAGAGTCGGTTCGTTTGGCCCTTGATCGGTGGTTAAGTTACATGCAACCGAAAAACAGGGACAAAGCGGGACTGAGAGTTGGGGACTGATGTGCTGGATGTGCTGCATGTGCCGCATGTGGCTGTGGCATGACCAATTTGATGGACACTTCGGGTGTGGGGAATGATTGGCAGTAACCAATGATCGGCATGGAGGATCACTTCATTAGAGTTCAGCGAGAAGGGAGAAAGCTCATCGAGAGTGCGAAGCAACTGAACGGCAGTGAGAGCTGAAACCATAAATAGTCAAGTTAGCTGATCCTTCATCGGAGCTGATTTGCACTTGAATCATGCAGCAGCTCGCTCCAGGTGTTGCTTCACATCCGTTCTCGAGTTAATATCTGAGCTAAATACCAAAATATAATCAGAGATTCGCTTTTCCATGCCATGGACATTCAGTTTGAAAGGAATCCCTGACTGGGAGACTCTCTCTCTCTCTCACAATTCCCTGCCACCTTATGGCGAGAGAGAATGATCCAACAGATTGCGTTGATTACGATACATTAAATCAATGATGCAGAGCCCCTTCTCTCCGTCTTTGTGTGTGTCCCATGGCCATTCAGACCAATGTCCAGCCCATTTCAACCACACAACTTAACCTCCCACCAGTCACACAAATCGGTCAACTAAAACAGTCCCCTGTTCCCTTATCCCTCTCCCTGTTCATCTCTCTGGCTCTGGCTCTGGCTCTGGCTATTGATATGGCAAATAAAGCACTGAGTGGCAAAAGGCGACAGGCGACAGGCGGGGGCGGGCCAGCAGACCCATGAGGGAGACGCAACACGGAGACGTATAGGAAGCCAAAAGGAAAAAGGAAATAAGAATCAAATCAAGCGACAAATAAATGTAATAAAATGTGGCAACAACACCAGCCAGCCAGCCAGCCAGCCAGCCAGCCAGCCAGCCAGCAGCAAACGGAAGCAGGCAGCAGGCAAAAGGACATACATCGGAGCATCCAAGAAGGCGGCCGCAAAAGGCGACCTCAAAACGTCTGCCTAAAAACTCAATTACATAACAATCTGTTCACATTTTTTCACACACCATCAACTTTAAATGAGCTAGAGGCTGCCAGCCTCCTGCCTCCTGCCTCGTTCAGTCGGGCTGAGGGCAAGGGATGCTGCTGCGGCAATGCCAAAACGGTGGGCGGTGGTCCAAAAGCCACTCGAAATGAAATTACGAGCCCACACTACGAGGCAAACAATAACGAAAGCAACAACAGCAACAAGGAAGGCATAAAAAGGAAAACAATTCCCGAGAGTCGAATGTTTAGATACCCTCACAGATGCGTGTGCATAAACGAAAAACTTAATAAATATTCTCTCACAAATAATTCCATTGGATGAATGATTTGACAGGTGCTAAGGTATGCCAAACTGAGTCATATCCTCCAGATGAGGAAGGTTTGAAGCAGCAATCGCTGGAATTATGACAAGATTCCGAGTTATGCTGCACATCTCAATAGAAATGAGTGGAAATTTAAGAAAAATGCTGTGGAAATTCAGCATGAATCATCCAAGGAATAGCAGCTGAAAAAGGTGATCGCATGGGACCATGAACATAGTACAGAATACTCCCAATGCAGTGCACTCGCAGTTGCTTCCTTACTTCTGCTTAAAATCCACATAACCATTTTCAAGAGTATTCAAGTATTTCCGTTTATGTGTCGCAACGAATGTGTGTCTGTCTGTGTGTGTGTTGCAAAGTTGAGGGTTGGCCAAAAGTCTAGCCCAAGGACGATACTGAGGAGGCTGTTCAAGGGTATGGGATGGAGTGAGTGGGTGGTGGGCAGACATGGCCATAACAACCGGGGGGACACAAATTACAATGTAATTTATTTGTCGCCGGAGCGCACAAACAGTGTGCAGGGGGGAGGCAGGGTACCCGGGCCGGAACCTGCCCAGAAGTTGGCGCTTGGGAAAATCAATCGCGGCAGCACCCAAAAGAGCAAGGACCAAGCAGCATCCGGTAGAGCCCCAAGAGAAGAATGTATTCTATTCTTGGGGGTTGACAGGCGACAAGCGACAAGCGACAAGCGACAGACACTAGGACAGAGCAGAGCAGAGACGAGCATCAAACTAGCCAATGAATGTCAATTGTTGTTGTCGTTGATGGCGTTGATGTCCTCATCGTCGTAGAGGGAATGTGTCGAAATTCCCCCCCCCCC